GTTCAACAATTCCGCTATTCAACGTTTTGCTCGGTGCCAGTTGTCAGTCGCTTACTCCCCGTCCATACTTCCGTCTATCCATGTGGCAAAGTCCCGCCCCGGATGCTCCAATGGCTCCACCCTCGGCACTTATGCCCGTACATAGCATTTCTCTGCCGTCTCTTCCTACACTGTCGGCGAGCGAACGAACAAACGACCGACCGACCGAAGGAACGAGCGTGCAGCGTATTCCGCGCTCACAAGACGACTACACCTGAGTCCCTGTAACAATCAGCCCAGCGACCGGAGTACCACTCGTTCACCCACTCTCTCTCCCTCGCTTTCGCTCTCTCTCCTCCGCACCCTTCAGTGTGCTTACCTCGATCACCCTCGGGGTCTACCCAGTCCGACCGAATGGTGGGTGTCCTTCTCGGTCTCCTTCTTTTGACACCGATTCCTCACCTCGATGCAGTCTCTCTCCTGGAGCGTACCAGGGATTGAACTCTTTCTCGTGAGCTGTGGACACATCACTGAGACACCAACGACGAGTTCGCCTCCGCAGAATTCCCTCCACGAAATTATTTTCACTGTCGGAGGTCTAAATGAATTGATACCTATCGCCGCTTTAATTTCGACGAGGATCGATGCCATCGAGTCGCTCGAGGATACGAGTCAGTTAAGCTCCCGCTAAAAACGGACGGTAAGGGAATTTACAACTCATCCTCCATGACCTTCTGGGGAACGCTCGGTAGCGCATGAGATGAACGATTGGTGATTCCCCTCATTCCCCTCTTAAATTTTGCTCCCTTTTCTGATCTGGCGCTTTTCCCAAACACCCTTTGTGATATTTTTTTGAGCGGTAGGAGGAAACTTTCTCAGGGCTCTCCCCCGCTCGGCTGGTTCTCCATCTTCGTCGTGGCCTGCGCCGCACCGTTCTCCTAATCTAGTATTGTATGTAGTAGTCAGGTGAAAACATTCTCACGATCCGAGCGCTTGTGAAGCTTTTCCTCGCTGATGTTCTCGGTCGCCGCTACCGCCTCTTCTTCCTCCCCGAGCCTCAAACTCACGATCGGGGATGGACTGATGGGGCAGCCAGGGAAAGGAAGAGGCTGCTTTAACAACCAACAAAACACCACTCATAACACGGGTACCCGCATCATTGTCTTCTCCCCTCTTTGATGATCGTCTGTCTTCGAGTGCGAGTCGTCTTGCGAGCCCGAACGAATGGATTCGTTACGAAATGCATCCGAGCTGCCGATCCGATGAGAACTCAGATAATCCCGCTCGAGGACGCTCCCCCTTCGGCAGATACGATCATGAACGAGCATTCTTTGCGCCTCTCATCTCGAATTCCATATTTCCGCCAGCGAGCCCGTGACGTTTTTGAAGCGTCGTTGAGGAGGGCAGCGGAGCAACTTCATCAGTATTTCTGTCACTGCGAGGGATCGAAGTTGGATCGATATGCGCGATCAAAATCTCGTAGCCGAATGTGTACCTGTCCAGAACTCTCGACTCGCGGGTTTCCGGTACGGAATCATTGGGACCGGATTGAAGCGACAGAATCACTGTGGCCGAGCATCGCAACAGGCTCGCAGAAGTTCCCCTAGGGCGGGAAAACAACTGATTGAAGCATGTATTATGTATCGGAAGGAAAGGTGTAGCCCGCGGCAGAGCTCTCGAGTTACCATTGTAGTTGTCCTCAAAACTCAAGCATCCCACTGGAATACGCATCTCGATCAGAGGCCTGAAGAAATTATTTCGGGCTTCCATTCGAAGGTTTTCCTCGACGTGCCCTCTCACAGCGAGATAGAGGGCAGAAACGAATTTCGAGTCTCGAACATCGTGAAGCTCGAAAGAGAATACAGAGCCAGCGTTTGTCTCCGAGAATTCCCTTTTCAAATACTCCGTCTCATAACCTCTTGAGCTTCTGCCGTGCTCGGGAGCTTGTCTAAATGTTTCCACCCGGGTTTTTCAGGAGGAGGGTTCGCCCTGCCACTTGGTCACGTAGCTCGTTACAGTCCCTCAAAGCACCACCTCGAGCAACGGAGAGCGGCGTTTGAGTTCATAGCATACAAATCCTCATGTGCGCCCTCCGCCGCCGTCGGTTTTCGTCTCTGCCGGTGTACGAAAGAGATATAGACAGAAATACATGAGCCGCTCTGGTAGGACAGGATTCGGTATTCTTGTCCACAATGAATACGAGTCGCTCTGAATTCCAAATGATTTTATTGTTCTGTCCTGAAGCTCTCCATTGCGTTTCCTCACCGAAACGCTTCCATTCTTTTCCCTCACTCAACTCCGAGCCCTCTTGAGCCCTAGTACGGAGGCCCTCAGTCGAAACATACCGGGGATTCGGAGACGTGGAATGTTCAACTTCCGTGGCCCAGAATCCAGAATCATACGTTAGAGGTTCGACTCGAGTCCAGGAATTCTCTCGTACCTAGATACACATACAGTAAAGCACCAAACATCGCTCTTTCTACATCGTTTAATGGATCAATAGTATCGATAGTACTCAGTGTTGTAGGGGGAGGGGCTGGTTTCAATGGTGGGCAGTTGTTGCTTGCTCATAAAGATCTGGTATGTTCATACTCTGAGCCGATGTTCGACGCGAAATTGAGGCAGCGCGAAAAATGCAGTTACTCAGCCAACCTCTCCTGATATTCACACATGCAAACGAACGAATGACTGGCAGCAGGCAGACTATGGACAACCGATCTGACAGAAAGTCACACTGAGAGCTCCGCAAGAGATTCTCCGCAATGCAGACCGAAAGAGTGAAATCGATGCAGAGGCCTCAGGGAGGTTACGAGTTACGAAACGAAGAAGTTGAGCGGCTTTCGCACGACTTTCTCTTGCAGCCGCGCGTGAAAGACGGGCACATTCGAGAGTACGTGACCGCAATCTAGCAGGCCCACCGCATCGTAATCGTCGAGTGGCCCATATTGAATTCATGTTTTCTCCATCCGTCTCCTCAGGCCTTCAGAGAGTTTCCAGGGCACCGTTGAGCCCTTCTCTCCCTTCATGCCGGCGCCGAGATCCCAGAGAGAGGCTGTCGTATCTCTCCACGTCAAGATCCACTCGGGACTCTGATCGTCATTTACAAGGACCTGCCTTATCTGACCGTTCCCTTGTCGTCTCCCTCGATCTCATCACGGAGCTCATTCCCTCCTCTCACTTTCAGTCATGCGGCACTATCTAAATCACACCCTGATCGGAGTTAGCGATAGAAAATTGGCGTCACATCGTCATGATCACATCTCGGCCGAATGACGCGCAGAAAAAACCAAAGCGCATGTAGTGATGGGAAAGCGTCAAATCGTCTCGTTGCTCCGGCTCTCCATTGATTTCGAGCCGAACTCGATAGAACTAAACACAGCAAGAAGGTAGTTGGTCAGGTAGGCCACACCATATCGGAACGACAGACTAATCGCTCCTTGACTGATCCGCGGTCGCAATAAGACTACAAGCGCGCCCATTTCACCGTTACAGTAGTTGGCAGTCCACTTCTGAGACTATTCGTGGGTAGGATCGGGAGAGGTAGTACGTGCTCCGAGTTGTGACACCTTGGCTACGGGGCAAATGTATCCAGAGTTCCATCGGCTTGTGTCCTTGTATTATACGCCAACTATGAAGTAGAATCAGTGAATCGGATTCGCTACACGCTCAGATTACCCGTTCAGAAAGGACGGGGCCAAACCCAGTCTGCCTCATGACTTTTGGAAAAGTTGTCGAAACTCTGACGCGGAGATTATTTTCATAATCCTCATCGTCGTAGTAATCGACTCAATCATCGGCCCGGAACGCCATCTGCTCTGATTGAGTGAGAAGCTTCGAGTATATGAAGAGGGTCGAGGTCAGCTTTCGCTCCCTTCATCTCGTGGGGGGAGTCAACCGCAAGAAAATTTCTACTTAGGAGGTTTGTGTGTGATAAGAATGATCGATTGAAAAATTGATTCGAGTGACTGACTCATACCTTGGAAGTTAGACGATTAACTATTGCACGAATGGTTCTGAATTGGTTGATGTTTAGATGATCGTCATTATATACTCATTAACAATAACACCCGTTAAGGCCACAGGATCAACAGCAAGATGATAATTGGAAAACCTAAGTTTTGGATGCTATGGATCGCCCATTCGATGAGTGAAACACGGTCCTGTCATCTATCAGATAAACGAGGCATATCGGTCGACGGTTTTAGCTCAAGGCGACTCATCCTCTTGCTGGACTGATGGGCTCATGATACTGAATTCGTCCCGACACCGTAGGATGTATCACCAAGGGAAAGAAGGCGAATCTACGGAATTGAGTCATGATATCACTTTCTCCGAATCAAGTCGAAACGGTGGCCATGCGATAACAGGGAGAATTCGTAAACGTTCGCAGAAGTCTTGATTGTCTCTGCAATTCTTGGGACACATAGTGCGCCTTTCCATGCTTAATCCCCTGCTTCTTCTGCATGACATCATCATTATTATTATCATCCATATTCTTATCAATATTTGTTTCCTTCTCTCTCCGATCTACGCGGATCGGGGCATATTCCCTTCTCTAAGGGAGATGGTGTTTCCCGATGTATGTCTTATTGAAAGAGGAATGCTCCATGTCAATCAACTCAAGTCGGTAGGTGGATGATGGTCTCGTGAAGCGTAATCTAAGTGCATCATGTTTACAGAAAAGCTCGATAGATCGACGTTGATATTGAGTGATACAACCGCAACACGCCAAACCCGAATGTCGAATCAATTGTGGAAGCCGGGAACTCTCGTGTTCCCTAGATGACTCGTTACGCGCTGCTCGAGAAGCGATTGTGGAAAGTTTCTTTCCTCCGGTTCGGGGAGCCGACTTATTCCCTTCCTCGAATTACAGCTGTATAATATGAAAGTCGATGCTCATTCACGAATTGTAGTTGTCCCTCTGAAGTGACGCGACCTTTCCCTGAACCCAATAGGAATTCCCGCTCCGAGGCGTACACTTTATGGAAACAGTCCGATCAGACCGTTGACGAGCTTGTCGTCTAGTTGTCTCCCCAGGCATCGTCCCACGACGGTAGTTGTTTTTCTGCGGGCGGTGCTGCCGCTAGGGGCCTTGGCGCCTCGGCGCATGGATCCTGGAATGAGGTCTGGTGGTTTTGAGAGCCTTCGCACGATCTGTAGTCCGGCTGATGTTTTGCTCCAGGTCCCTCAGTCATCGCCATGCTTTCGCCCACTTTGTTCGAGTAGACATTCTTCAGCCGCCACAGGAGCGGTACATAGGCGAGACTGGTGATCGCGATGAAGAAGTTGAGAGCCGTGAAGCCGATCGACTCGACGATTCCACCCGCGATAACGGGCCCGATAGCGTAGGCCATGGAGTACGAGATGTCGGCGATGGCGTAAATTGAACCGTACACAGAAACGTAACGGTAGTCGACCAAGAAGCCGAGCGTCGGCAGCAGCGATGTGTCGACCATTGCTATGCCGAAACATATCCCGCTCAACGGGAAGAACAGGAACCAGTAGGATTTGGCGAATGGCACGAGGAAACTGCTGACTCCTTCAAGAGCGAGTCCGAAAGCGGCCATGGCCCACTGGTATTGAGGATATCTCTCCGAGGCGATCACAGTTAGATAGACGCCGAGCACGTGTGGAATGAACGCAGGCAGCCAGATGAGTCCAATTTGCCATTCCTCGGTGTGGAGGTTGTCTTTCATCCAGATAGCGATGGTGGGCTCGAGGAAGGCTAGAGACACGTTCGACATCATTAGCGCTCCGGCGCAGACTGCGATGAAAGGATCTACGAGAAGCACATGAATGGGAGTTCCCTTCGGTCGCTCCATGCCCATGTCTCTCATCTGCTGTTTGACGGGTCTCATCACAAACAGTAGGAGAATCCCGTCGATGAGGCAGACCAACGATAGAATAACGAACGGGACCTCTTTGCCCGCGAATTCGAACAGTAGTCCTCCGAAGGGCGGTGCCACAAGACACCCGAACGATATGAATGCGAGAGCTATACCCAGAGCCCTGGATCGTTCGGCCTCCTCGGTGAAACGGTCGGCGATCATGGCGAGTCCGCCTGTGTCGGCGAACGCCGACCCGATACCTTGTAGAGAGCGGGCGAAAAACAAAACGCTATACGATTGACCGCAGGCGAATATTGCTGTCGACAGAAACATCACCGTCAGCCCGAACATCATCGGAAGGTCGTAGCCTATCCGGTCGATGACGGCTCCTGAGAACGGGTTTATGAGTAATTGTACCATGGCTTTCGAGGCAAACAGCATTCCTACAAAACTTTCTTCGCCTTCGTACACGACTCGGCCTCCGACTCTCTGCCAAATTCGTTCGGTGCGTCCGGTCTTGTTGAAGGTAACCACGCTCATGTTGCCGCCTTCCTGGTGCGTGGTCCACGATCCGATATCGCGTAGATACTGAGGAATGATGGGAACGATCACCATGTATAACATGTTGTCGAGGAGGAGTGCGATACACACGATGATCAGAATGAGTTTCTTCTGCTTGACGGGGTCCTCCGCCTTCTCCAGGAACGTCTTCCATACTGTCGCCGTGTCCGTGTTCAGCACCGGGATCGGAATCGCGGGAACGGGCATGATGGCTCGAGTGGATTCCGATTCACGGGTCGAACGGGAGATCAACAACAACAATTATTGGTAATACGGCGATCCTTATCGCGTACTTTCGTACGGAGAGTCGTCTTATGAGCTGTTCTCTTAGCGAAGGTGCGGCTGTGGTTGAGTTGACTCACGTACGCTGGTCGACAGACGAACGAGCCAACGCTGACGGCGTCTGCAAGAGAGGATGAGCTCAGAGAGTGCTTGTTTCGTAAGTTTCTTAGGGGAGGCAGCAGACCTCACCCTGAATTCACCGCTAACGGTCTCTCAACTCCAACTCTGGGAGCAAGCATCTCTGAAGCCCATGTCTCTCTGCCAGGTCAGACGTCTGGTGCCCCACAGCTCCCGGCCAACGCAGTGAATTCAGGGTTCGAGTCTTGGCCTCTCGTCACGGGCATCGTGATCGTGGTCGTAGCCCATCAAGAGATTTCCAGGTCCGCGAGCATCGATCAGAACCGGCCGACGCCGAGCTCTGGGTTTCTGTATCTAGACTCTGAACTACAAAAATCGGGAAGAAAAACGAATCTCAGCGAGGAGTTGGAAGCTCGCATCCTCAGGCGTCGCATTACGAGAACCGCGATGACCTCACCGTCCTTGTCAAGGTGAATCTTCGACTCCATCAAATGGTGGGGAGCGAAAGTCCCGCAGATACTATGTATGGGCTTGTACGATTGTTCTCGCAAAGTGCTCTCATAGCACCGGCGGACGACTCGCCTCGCTAACAGCACCAGAAACGATCTCTTCCATTACCTCAGCTACTTGAAAGTGACGCCTCCTATTCAATTAAGGTCTCGGTACTCCATTATTTATCACGGATTCTCTATTCTCGTTCCTATTACGAGCACGCAGTGCTTCGTCCCGTTGGTGTTTAAGCCTTGCACGAGTTGAGAGAAAAGAGCATTTACTTTGTTTTCTGCTTTCGATTTCAGAACTACCTCGTTCTTCGCTTTGTCTGACTGACTGATGCTCATCTGACGAACGAGGGAAACTCTTGTGCAGGGAGGCAGGCAAGTGGGCGGCTGAACAGACAAGTAGACACATAGCCCGTTGAGAGGGGATGTTTGAAAACCTGCGCGGTCAATCGCCTGGCAGAGCCCGCAGTATGGTAGACCCAGGCAAAAAGGCATTGCTTGCCAAGCGAGGAGAGCAGTAGCAGGTGTTCATACTCCTGAACAGGGACAACAGAGAACAAGGAGCCCGCTCCCCGTGTCTGCCTACTTGTCTGCCAGGCTGCCTGTGTGTACATAAGATATATGTATGTATATGCACGAGGGCGGCACTGGCGGCTCAGATGGTCTGGATCCCACTTCAAGAGAATTTCCTCCTGGTCCCAAGCTCGATCCGGTCTTCCCGCTACCTCTCTCCCCACTCCCCAATCTACGCATCACTCTATCTCTCGAGCGAGAGAGGGGACAAATGAGAGAGGAAACGAAGTGAATGTAGACGGACTTGATTATTATAGAACAAATTATTGTTTCTCCCAGCATTCATCAGTCACTGGTCGGGGCTTTTTCCTGGGTGTTTTTCTTCGTCTTCGTTTTTGTGAGCGAACACACGAGGTAATGAGTACACGGTACGTCTTGCCGTACGATTTCCCTCTACTTGCCGCTGGACGCTGACCGCATGCCAACGACACAGAAGAGAAAGAAGGGACATCAGCGACAACAATTCCTTGTTCGCCTATATCGAATAGCTTGATGGACTCTTTCCCGTTCAGGAGAAATATGAAGCACAAGGACCCGGCTGAAGGGAATCTCTGAGCCGACCGAAGCTAACGGCGGGCTAGCGGGTCCATGGTTATTTTCAATTCTTTTCCTTCGACTCTCCTACCGTCCGTCGAGGGATCACGTTTGCGGAGCCTGTGTTCCCCCGGTGGTGGTGGTGGCGGCGACAAGGGGGATTCTACGCACGTCGCTCATAAATGTCAGAGTCTCACATTCGTGCGATGCACTAAGTCATTCATTCGTGGGCTCCCTCCCTCACCGTCGGCCACCTTTTCACCATCGATCCCCGGGCATAGACCATGACGATTGCAAAGCAGCAAGATTGGATGTTTTGATTGACCGGGCAAGCCAGAGCTCGCACTATGAGAATTAGTCTTTGAATGTCGACTCACAGTGGCGGCCCTCAGGTAACTTCGTTTACGACGAAGGCACGCGCTCCGAGAAAGGCCATAAAGACAAGTGGCGAGTGAGATTTATGTTTATGGATCTCCTTTTTCTCCCAGCCCCCACTGTAGGCACATCCTGGCTTCCTCCCCGTTCTACCCTCACATACTTCAAGACAGCATCTTGTAAGCCAACTTGGCAATCTACGCAATGAAAAACCTTGGCTCTCCCAGCCAGACATTTGAGTGTGCTGGTAAGAGAGGACCGCCCAACCCTGTAACTGCTCGGGCGGTGAAATAGAGAAGCCAGCGATTGTAAAACACCGAGCACGAACAGATTCGGGATCATTGAAACCGTATTTTGGTCTGAGATCTCCCCCCGTGACCGCGCAGCGCGTGGCAATTCAAAGAAACTTCATCGAGCGTCCGAGAGGGACGGCAGTAGTGGATACGCAATCCTCCACAGACCACATGATTGAGCGGGATTGGGAACAGCGAGATTTCGCTCCTTCTGGAGAGTTTCTCTATTCCTCTGCGTAGAACAGAACAGGAGCGGAATATTTTTCGGTGGAAGTCGAGATAACGAGACGAGCGGAACGAGTCGGGGTCATTCCCGGGGCTTCCTCTTCCGTGGGGAGGACGTTTCTTTTGTCGAATCGACAGCGGGAAGTATCTAACAGCAGAGAAGCATTTCTCCGCAAATAGGACGAGGAGGGAACGAAACTCAAAAAATCAAACGGCTCCAGATCTGAAGCCTGATGCTGAGCATGCCAAAAGTCTACGAAGAGTACGTTGCCATGGCTTCGGGCAAAGCACAGTGGCAAATTGGATTACAAACGGCTGGCCTCATTGAATTAGCCGCCGTCGCCACAGCCGCTCTCGCGGTCGCAGCCGCCTTGGCTGCTGCCAGTTGTGGTTGCGGTGGAAGTGGCTGCGGTGTTCTTGCTGGTGAGCTTGTATAAGCCGCCGCGCTCTTACATAATAACAAATACTCGCTCACTTACGCACGTTCACAACACCTATGCATACAAAACATACATTCGGTCGCTGTTATTTCAAGTCGTCCCTCATCCCTACGCGCCGATTCTTTCTCCTTCTTTTCCTCCGAGTTCCTCATTGGGTGCTCGGCGCGCTTCCTTGAGTGTACCGTAGTACCGTGGCGGTCAGCGAAGCCGTCGACATTATTGATCCTCTCACTAGGAGTTTGAGACGATGCTGAGAATGTTCCCAGAATGAGCAGGACGCGCTGGCGAGTATGAGGTTCGCGAGACGATCGATTCTCTCACTCTCCGCGTCAGACATTTGACTGTCGAGAAATAAGAGTTTTCGAGTACTACTTCTCGAAGCCACTCGATCCCGCGAGTGTTTGCTGTGCTCGTTATGTGTAATTCTCTCCTCCGTAGTTGTAGATCGAAGCTTCGTTCATTTACCTGTTCGCTCTTATTTGCCCAAGGCTAGCGTGCTCCTCGTGAAGCCTCCCCAACACATCTCGAGCTACCTCAGCCGCGCTCTTCCCTCAAGGGATCCGATGCTGCTTTCGGCGCTGTTAAATGCCAAATCTAATAAGGGAGTTTACTTTTAATTATTTCAACGAGCTGCTCGAATCCTTTCTCACACAGACCGACTGACGAGCGAAACTAAGCTCAACTCAAACAAAGGTTCCGACCATAAAACTCGCCGAGAAGCCCGCTCGCATGTGCGAGAGAGTTGACGATAGACTATCTTCGTCCAGAATCTTCTTCACTAGCCGACGTTTTCATTCAGAGGCACGTTTCGCATCGCGGCAATCTGTACTGTCACCATAATGGCCGCGAGATAGGAAGCTCACTGCCTTCAGGCATATCCCACGGACGCAGGAATCTCGTGGTCGCGTGAGACCTGATCGAGTCTTCGTTCTTGTCGGCGAAATTTTCGCCTCGGATGACGTTGGGAACAGATCAGCCTACCGATTAAAGACCCGACGATCGAACAAAATTGATACAGACATAATGTTCATCGACAGGCGGACAGACGCATGGACTGAAGAGCAATCGGAGTCGTTCGAGCCGCGCTTCAACCGGAATCGTGCGAGGTTCTCGTCTCCGTCGTTGCCTTTGTTTTGCTTCTGTCGTTGTCGAGGATGTGTCCTCGAATATAGTCGGCTCTTGTTCTTGTTCGGCGCATATCTCTCCGTGTGACTGAGTAGGCCTGTGAGAGTGTGCATACAGGCTGGTGCGGTGTGTATGCCTGCAGGCGTGCCCGCGTGCGTGAGTGCAGACGAGCGTTTTCGACACGCGAGCCGGCCTAAGGGGGGCGAACCACAACTAGCCGTCCACCTTTTCAAATTCATACGCACTTACATAGTAAGATCAGTGGGGGCTGTTGTCGAGGAGAGGCAGCCACACAGGCCGCACGCCGTCCTCTGCTCAGCTGGTCGCTCGGCTCGAGTGAGTGAGTCCCGATCGATGGGAGCCCGCTCACTCCTCCTGAGTCAACGTATCGACCGCACGAGCTCTACGTAATAGACACGCCGCTATCTGAAGAGCACGAGCTCGCTCGTTCGCCTACGCGGCTTCACGCTCCCTTGTAGGAGCCAATGTTTTCGATAGTCAATTTAGCAATTCCGAGCTGTCAATTCATGACAATATCTCGAGCGGCGTCATTGTTCTGGATCCAAGGACGGAAACATAGAAGGAAAAATATCTCAATGAGCCTGAACGTGAATCGAATCCATGGCGTGGCAAATTCATGAGAGTCGACATCCGAGCACTGCAGATTAATGAGAGCCAAGTTCTCGATAATTTTGGATCGAGATCGAGAAGATTTCGCACGTGCTCGTCTTCCTGATGCGTATACCGCTCGTCCAGTCATCCTCTCCAAGCGAGGAGTTCTG